CACTCCCTCACCTGCTTCGCTTCTTTACTCAGGCGTGACTTCTTCGGGACTTTGATTACCGTATTTACTTTGCAGACCCCCCACCCCCACCCCATGCAGTCAGTATAAGTCTTGTCCCTGCTTTATCTCTTTCTTTAACATTTGTCTTCTGACTTACAGGTGTCATTACTCATATATTTATTATCTTGCCCCCCTACTCGAATGCAAGCAGGGATCTTTGTTACTCTTCATGGCTGTGAACGGTGCCTGGCCCTTAGTTGGGGTGCAATAAATATCGGGTGAATGAATGAGTCCATGCACCACCTATATTTCCTTATTTCCTTTAAAGTGTTTAACTTTCATTACTGAAATATCTACTTTTCCCTAAGCAGTAATATGCCCTTCACAGGTTTGATGTGTTCATTATACTCCTTTGCCACTACACGTGTGAAACTTACCTATTACAATTTCAGGTCTCAGGGTCCCACTTAAATCCTTTGGCTTCCACTAGAGGTGTGGGGGCATCATACTCTAGGAATCACTGTTCCAGTCCAATCCCTTCTTTCAACACATGGACAAATAAGCCCAAACAGGGTCAGGAATTAGTCCAATGTCTCACCCAAACTGTGACAGGACAGATACTGGGGCCAAATCTCCTGGCCTCTAGTCTTCTGTTCTTTTGCAGTGTGAGGGACAAGGGGCGGGCGGGGCTGGGTGGTCCTGCTGGAGGGGAGCCAGATAGGCCTGGTCCCTGGGGGCATGGCAGGGTCGGCAGCCTCCAGAATGCCCCAGGCCGCGGTACCCTGGAGGGCGGTGCGCCGAGAGGTGGGAGCCAGCCTTGGCGGCACCTTGCCTCCTAGCACTCTTGGACCAGAGGGGCCTGGGTACTCACATCTAGCAAGGGGCAGACCTGGGGTTCAAACCTGGTTCTCTCTGCTGCAGCACGTTGGCTAGAGATTGACGCTGGGGTGCCCTTGCAGAGAGGATGCTGGGGGAGGGGGGGTCTGAGTGAGGGGAAGTTGGGCTGTGCCTGACTGAGCACAAGAGCGAGACCAGACCCAGAGAGGGCCAGAGAAAGGAGGAAGAGAGACAGACAGAGCCTGAGCCCCGCAGAGTTATGCAGAGGTGGGTTTGTGCAAACGGCTGAGTTAAGTCCCCCTCAGGCGTGCATAGTACTTTATACTGTAGGAACCATTTCCGCATCTCATTTACGCAGCGGTGACTCTGCAAAGCAGGTATTATCCTCCCTGTTTCGCTGATAAGGAAGGCGAGACCCAGAGAGGTGAGGTGATTTACTAAAGGTAGCCCGCAAGTGGTACAGGACGCCTGGTTGAACAGGGCATGGGAGGAGAACAGGCGGCGCCTCGGGCTGGACTTGGTCGAGGAAGGCTTTCTGGGAAGGGCAGGTGGGCTGAACGGACGTGCGAGTGAGAGGCAGGAGCGGAGACCGCATACCACTAACTGGCCAAATAACCTTGGCAAAACCCAAAAACCTTCCTGAGCCTGTTTTCTCATCTGTCAAGTGGGTATAACGGCACCCCCAGGCCACAGCTTGCAAAGAGAAAATGAAACAACATAATAACATAATGATAATACTTAAACCGAATGCCTGGAACTTAAGAAGTTCCCAGTAAACAGCAGCTTGAGTGATAGAAGTGAAGTGTGTCCCGCCCTTGACACGTTTGCCCTCCGAAGTCATCCCCCCGACCAAGGGATTCCCAGAGCCTTCTTGGGCAGATGTGAGCAAGCCTGAGACCTGAGAGAGTTGGCATGGCCCAGGGAGCCGCCAGGGACAGGCAGCCTCCGGGGGACAGGCAGCCTCCTGAGGACCAGCAGCCTCCAGGGGACAGGCAGCCTCCAGGGTCAGGCAGCCTCCAGAGTCCGGCAGCCTCCAGGGGACCGGCAGCCTCCAGGGTGAGCCAGCCTCCAGGGGATAGCCTCCAGGGGACCGGCAGCCTCCAGGGACAGGCAGCCTCCAGGGTCAGGCAACCTCGGGGACAGGCAGCCTCCAGGGACAGGCAGCCTCCAGGGTCAGGCAGCCTCCAGGGACAGGCAGTGGTCCCCCAGGGCCAGGGACTCTGCGGGCGCTCAGGCTGCCTGCGCTGTTTACCCCGGACCCGCCAGGACTCTGCCGGCCGTCATTATCATTCCTCCTGCGTTCTTTCTCCGGGGCTATTTATTTTTCTGTGAGGAAGGAATGTGGGGAATTTACCACAGGGCGCTGGCCTTCACTTTCGCTGCAGCGGCCTCTTCTGTAAGAGGGAAGCGGCCCAGACAGATGGCTGAGGAGGCCGAGCGGAGGCGGAGGAGGGTCCGGGCCGAGTGCGCGGCCCAGTCGGGGACGGTGGGGCGGTTATGTAACCCACCCGGAGGCCCCGGGCTGGTACCACGGTGCCACTGGTCCCCGGGCATGTGCCACGTAATGTACACAGCTCCGGTGGCACCCTCCCTGGAACACCCCACTCACCCTCAGACTCGGGGCCAGCCCAAGGGCTGTGTTCTTCTCAGAGGTGCCTTCCTCTCCAGCTGGTCTTGATTTGGGGTAGGGGCGATGGAGGGGAATGGGGTGGGGATTGCCTTGAGCCTTCCGGCCTCTGCTGGGCTGGCCCTGTTGCTTGGAATGCCTCCACAGCTCCATCTTTCAAGACCTAGCGTATATGCCACCCCCTCCAGGAAGCCTTCCGGGATTCCTTTATCCTAATTAATCTCTCTTTTAGGCCCTTTATTCTCTCGGTGCTTAATGGACTATTCTGCCTCTTAGGTCTAACACTGTGATTTGAGGTTTCATCTCCCTCTTCACCCACAGACCCATGTTGCTCCCTCCCTTCTTCCTTCTCCCCACTTCTTCTAGGAAGTATCCTCTAGATCTCTGATCTAGAATCTAGATGAATCTGAGATCTAGAGGTACCTAGAAGTTGTCTCCCAGGACGAATGGTGGGGCAAAGTGTGAAGCTGGATTTGGATTGTGGGAGGGCTCATCCTTCAGTCATTAATTTCCTCCCCACTTACTGAGCGAGTGCCGGCCTCTGCTGAGTGTGGGGGCATTTAGAGAGCATGGAGACCTGGCCAAGAGAAAGGGCTGCATCTTTGTGGAGGGCCCAGCGTGCCAGGCCCTGGGCTGGGTGCTGGAGCCCGAGCCCCAGAGACGGACTAGGCCCACCTATACCCCCGGCAGCGGCAGTTTAGGGGAAGCCATCTCTCCCCACACTGGCTCCCCACCTTTTGTCTCCTGGATGAAACATTCTGTCTGGAAGGGCAGGGTGTGGCCGTCCTTTCTGTACTCCCGAGGCTCCCAGGGCTGGGGTGATGGAGGCTGGTGCAACAGGAGAGGACTTGGCTGGCAGGCCTGGCTTACCAGGGCTGGACTGGGAAGTGGAGGCCCAAGTCTGAGTGTGGTTCTCTGTGAACCAGTCCTTTCCAGTTTGCCGTGCACCTGGGGCTGAGCCTGCCTCTCTCTGGGTCACCATGTTCAAGTCCCTGGAAATCTAATTGTAGATTAGTGTTTAGGCCAGCAGAGCAGGCAGGAGAGAGGTGGTGGCTCCTGGTCCTTGGCAGAGAAGGACCCTACAGCAGAGGCCTAGTGATGAGCAGGGCTTGTGGCCTAAAGGGATGCTGCCAGCTAAGGCCCACGCCGACTTGAGAGCCCTCTTCTTAGGTTCCCCCCAACCCACCCACCTGCCTGATCCTAACCCACTTCCAGCAGAGAGACCAGGAGTTGGGCCAGGCCTGCTTCCCCTCAGGCCTTGGCTCCTAAACTTTCTCAACCCATTGTTTCCTCTGACCCCCTTCTGCTCTGAGGCCCCGGGGCCAGCTTGAGCAGGGGTGGAGCATTGATCTTAGGAGTCTGGATGGATTGATGAGGGCTTCCTGGAAGAAATGGCAGTTGGGCTGGGCCTGGAACAGTGGTTGGGGAAAATGAGCTCTTCAGAAGGAGGGGGCCCAGGCTTGGAATCAGACTCCCAGCTCCAACTCTGCTCTGCCTGCCCCCTGCTGGCTGTGAGACCTGGGGTGAGCTCTCTAATTCTGTGGGTCTCTTTTCCCTCAACACAGGCCAGGGAGCCTCCCTTATGAGTTACTGTGAGGTTTCAATGAGAAAATACATACTCACCCCTTTGCTTAGCAGCAGCTGGTGCTCCTCACATGTTGGCTATTGTCATCCTCATTGAATTCACTGTTATTCTGCAAGCACGCATGGAAGGTGTTGGGGATAGGGGAGAATACAGAAAGGAAGCCTTTGAGGCCCCTGCCCTGGTGGGGGGGGGGGCTCCTGCCATGTGGGTGGGGGGGAAATAAGACCTAGACCGTGATTGCTGAGGAACAAGACCTTGGGAGGAGGCAGTGTGGCCCATAGGATGGGCCCTGGACCAGGCGCTGGGCCACCCTGTTTGAATTCCAGCTCTGCCTCCGTCTAGCTGTGCGGCCTTGAGCAAGTCACTTCACCCCTCCGAGCCCGTGTCTCCTCTAACATGGATATGAGGGTACTGCTGACCACAAGGGTTGTTATAAATGAAGCAAGGACCTGGCATGTGGTGAGCATGCCCTGAAGGGTAATTCTCACTCATATGAATAATATGCAAAGTGATGAGGGTATTACGAAGTGGTGCAGATAAAATGGCTGGTGAGGCTCTTCGGAGGGAGTAGTGGCATTCAAGTTAGGTGGGCAGGCTGGGGTATGTAGAAAGGATGGGAGCCGGGTTCCACATAGAGGGGTCAGGGGCAGACCACACAGGGGAGGTGGGAACTCACAGGGGGCGTGTGGGAAGCATGAACCATTGGGTTTTCTCTGGCCGCTGGTGAGGGCACAGAGAGCAGGTTAGCAAGCTCTCAGGCAGGCTGTGGTGTCAGGGGCCCTGAATGCCAGGCTGAGGACTAGCTGTTGGATCTTCCACATCCTGGGGAGGCAGGAGAGAGAAGTGAGCGAAGCCAGGCAGAGGAAGATGAATCTGGCAGCATGGGGCGGGTAGATTGGCGGAGGAGAGACTGGGGGCGGAGAGGCCATTTAAAAAAGCTGTTGCAAAATCGGTTTTCCTGATAAAGAGCTGGGCTGAGTCATCTGTGGAGGAGAGAAGTCTCATCCAGCTCCTCCGTTGCCTTCGAAGTGGGATTTTCCTCTCTTTGTCAGCGGGGCAATTGGCTGCCTTTCCCAGAGGCTTTGAAACCGAGGCCGGCTCAGCATCCAGGGGGAAGCTGGGCTGCAGGGAGGACCCAGCTGCAGTGAGTAAGAGGAGAACGCGGCAGTGCCTTTGTGGTTTGGGGTGTGTGACTTAGGGCATATGGCCTCCCTCTCTGGCCTCAGTTCCCCTCTGGGCATCAAGAGAAGAAGCATGTGATGACTTCTGCCAGCCTGTTAGTGGCAAGGCTGGAGCTAGGTCTGGGGCTCCCCATTTCTGTCCTTATGCATCGCGCATGTCCTGGCAGTCCTCCTCACCTTAGTATGAAGTATTCTCCCGAGAGGAGGGCTGGCAGCCTGCTGAGATTCCGTCAGGTTGCGCTCCCTGGGACTTTGGTGTGGATGGAGAACTCCCTAGGGAATGGAGGCTGTGTCATTTCCTCCTTGCAGCCGGGAGGATATGGGGCAGGGGATGGCAAGGCGGCCAGGCCATTACTCAGGCCCAGTTCATCTTCCTGCCCCAGCCGAGCCAGAGGTTATGCAGCGGCCAGCCATTGGTTCCTTCCTGACCCCGGCAGGGGGGCAGTTTACCCAGCCTGTTTACCTGTCCCATTGCCAAGACTCCCAGGCGGCCACAATGGGCTGCCTCCAGCCAGTCTCTAGTCCCACCTCTGGCTCCCTGTCCCACTCCACCCTACATGGGGCCTGGGCACTCCCATTGACGGCAGCCGTGTGAAGAAGCATTTCCTTGAATTCTCTCCCTGTCCTGACCTTCTGCTCTGGCCTCCCTTCCCCTGCCCCACCTCCTTCCTTCAGTTCCTCCGTCCAGACAGGCCTGATGGTCAGCAGACCAGGCAACTGCCTACAGGGGTGATCGGGGTGGGAGAAAGGGCTTATCCTTGCCTAAGCACAACTGGAACTCCGGTATCCTGACTCCTGATACCATGCTCTTTCCACTCCACTGGGCTTTCATCTCCTAGCAGTCATTTCTACCGTAGTAAGAATGAGTTCTGTCAGTTCTTCTCCTGAGAGGAAGAAGGGAAAGAATGCATGGGTTGTTCTAGGCAGCTGAGAGGGGAGAGGGCACTGCTGGGGACATGGACCATGAGACAAAGAAACAGGCTGTTCTGCAGAGCCTCGTCCAAGAGCTCTGGAGTTTCTATTGGTGTCCGTCCCTCCAAAGTCTGGGTCTAGAAGGCAAAATGGTTAGGAAATGAGACTCAGCAGCCAGACTTAGAGTTTTGCATCCCAGCTCTGCTACTTGCAAGTTGTATGGCCTTGGACAGGTCTCTCTGAGCTCCCCTTTAATTTGCAAATTGGGGAGAATAGTAGTGCTGACCTCTCAGAGTTTGGGGGAAGAACTGAGGGGGGGCTGATGCGTGTAAAGTGCACAGCGTGGCCCCTGCACGATTGCAGCATCCAATGTAGTCCTCACTCTGCCAGCTGAACTTGGGGCTTCTCGTCTCCCTGCCTGCTTAGGGAGTTACCCCTGTTGGACCCAGGTCTCCTGAGCCCGGGCAGCTCTTCCTTGTGTCTGCCCTCACCTCTTCCTCTCTTGAACGCCTGTCTTCGGAGCTCCTGATCCATTGTCCAGAGCAGATCTTTCAAGGGCCAGCACCCCGCCCTGAAAAGAGGGGGCATTATGGCTTACCCAGGCACAGGCCCCAGCCGTGCAGAGGGGGGACTCGGTCGAGGTACCTGTCCCCCCGGCCCTCGGCCACCTCCTGCTTCTCCGGCATCAGGGAGCACCATCTTGGTCCTGGCTGGCTGGGGCATGGCCAGGGGCACCAATTCCTGAGTCTGGGGGATGTTGGACAGAACCACCTCCCCTGGTGCCCTGAAGTGTGGGACTGTGGGTTGCCTGTGGCTGGCCCAGCCCCCCTTCTCTCAGCTTTGTTTGTGAGGGTGGCAGAAATCGGCTGAATTGCTGGCAGGGTCTTGCCCAAGCCTCCTGCCGGATTCCTTTTCCGTGGAGTCACCGCGGGCTGGGGGTGGGGACCCAGGAGCTCCCTCGGAGGCAGGGCTCTCTCACCCCTTGGCCTTTTCCCCTGCCCTCTTCTTGTCTCAGAACAGCAGTGGGGGGTTGGGGGGGGTCCAAGCCCAGCTGGGGGTCAGCAGACAGAGTCCTGGCCCAGAGGCCTACTCTGCCACTCTTTCCCTCTCGCAGCCTCCCAGGCCCATTTAGCCCCCGAGAGCCCTTCATGCTCTGACATTTTGAGCATTTTCAAAACCCATGGCCTTTAGAACCAGTCTGGGGATAGGATGGAAGCAGAGAAGCAAGGAGAAAAACAGGCAAGTGCAGGGACATTGGGAGGTCTGGATTATTCAACCCTTGAGGGACCTTCTGAGAGCCTTACACTGTGGGAATGTGTTTCCCAGAAAGCCTGTTGCTCTCCAGAGTCGTGCAGAGCCAACGGGGAGCCAGCCCCACTACTTTCTGGCTCTGTGACCTTGGGCAACTCACTGTACCTCTCCGAGGCTTGGTTTTCTCATCACTACAAAGTGGATAATAGTTCATGCTCCGTAGCGTTGTTGTGGGAATTAAATAAGACAATATGTTTAATCAATGTTAGCAATTGTGTCATAAGAAACCCTGGTGGGACGACGGACGTGTATCCTGACCACGCCCCAGGGGGATGTGATTTGTGTCTGTGAATCTCTGCAGGGCTCTCAGGTTGGAAAGAAAAAGCTTTTTATCTACGTGTCAATATACGTGGCAGTAGAGGTTGGGAGTTAATGTAAGGAGTAACTTTATAGCAAAGGAGCGTTCATTAGTGAAAGGCCGCTCTTTAGGGCCGTGAGCTCCCTGTCAGTGGGGTGTGTAAACAGAGGCTTGTAACTCAGGGGCGTGGTCTTAGGGACACGGGAATTATGGGGGCAGTCGGACCCAGTGGCAGCCATCCCCGAGACTCTGAGGCTGTGTGGTTGGGGGCAGTAATCCCTCCCTCTCCACGACGCTGGAATCCCCTGCAGGTGTGACCTTAAGAGAGTCACATTCCCCCTCAGGATCCTGATCTTGGGAGTGAATCTCCCTTGCCAGAAGAGGCTCTGACCCCTTCCAGGGACGAGAGTAGGGTCACCACTGAGCAGCTCCTCCCCGGGGAGCATGAGCCCTCTGCGCTGTCCCCTGGGCCTCATGACAATGCATGACCTCATTGCAGGCTCTCAACCCTAACGGCAGTGCGTTTATCACTTCTCCTCAGTTAAGGAAACTGGCTCCGAGAGGTGTGCTGACTTGCCAAGGTCACACAAGCAGCAAACAGCAGAGCCCAGATTCGGGCCAGGAGTCCTGGTTTCTAAGCAGAGCAGAGGAGGCAAGCATTGCATGAGCCCGGCAAACCTCTCAGGTCCCTCCTGTGTGGCCGGTTCGCCCCTACCTGAGACCCCACCCCTGGGCAGCAGCCTGGCCAAACCCACAAATCCTTCATCTTTTACAGAGGGGGGGATCCAGGCAGGAGAGGAGCCCTACCAGGAGGGAACAAGTGTCGGGGTGCACGGGGCAGGCTCTTCTGGACAGGTGGGCACAGGTGTATGTGGGTGCGAAGCCAGATCTTGATGGGAGGATGGGAGGAGGAGGTGGGGACCAGAGAGCTTCTGCTATGTGTGGGCCTCCCTGCTGACCCTAGTGTGACTCTCTGGGCCTCAGTTTCCTCATCTATACAATGGGGGTGGTGTTCAAATGGCTCCTTTGTAAGGGCCCTTCCAGCTCTGGGAGTCCATGAATTCTGAGCCTCGCTGGCAGGATGCCTGGAAAGACCGTCCCTGGAGACCCATTCAGCATGTCATGGCCAGTGCTAATGAGGGCATGGTAGGAGGGAGGGCAGGGTCAGATTCCTCAAGAACTAATTAGCTTCCCACAGTAGAGAGGGGCGGGGGGAGGATGACAGGGAAGAATTTTCCCAGCCACTGACCGTGCTGTTAGCCGTGGACACAGGCTATCTCATCCATCTGTCCACTGGTCCTTTCGTTCATTCGTTGTTCAATAAGCATAAATTGAGCACCAACGGTGTACCAGCTGGGCACCGGGGATATAGAGAGAAGTGGTTGCCTACAGTGAACTTACAGATTAACAGGGGTCTGACACCAGCCTGATCACCGACCTCAGGCCCCAGGCTCCACAGCCCTCGACTGAACCCGCCCCCCACCACTGATTCTGTCTTCTGTACATCCCAAAGGGACCTTTTGGGACAAGTGGGCAACTTGAGCTTGGGTTGTGAACCCAGAGAGAACTGGTTTTGACCCCGGCCTTGCCGCTGTTTGTTGTGTGACTGTGGATGAGTTACTTAAAAGCCTCTGGACCTCATTTTCCACTTCTGTAAAACAGAGACGGGCAATGTTTGTCTCCCAGTGTCCTTGTGAGGACAATATCAAGTAATGCAATGTTCTAGGATAGTCGCTGCTGAATTTAGCCTAATGCCTTACTGTCATGATATTAAAACATGAGAATTTAAAAACGATTATTTAAATGAAAGTAAGAAGAAACTCTGCGAGAAGAAACTGGTCACAGTTGTTACTGATTTGTGGTAGGGGTGCTCAGGGGTGCAGGGACATTTTTTAGTAAATACTTTTTGCTTTTTTAAATTTTTGAATTTTTAGGCCATGTGAATGCATGACCTATTCTAAAAAGAGGAAGTGTTACTGTTAGTGTTAGCAGATGATCACACTGTGAGTTTGAAAGTGTAAAGGGCCCTAAGACAGGCACATAGAAAATGTCCTGGGGGTTCATTCATGCCTTCAGTAATGCCTACTGGGTGCCCACTTTATGCCAAGCACTATTCTAGAGGCCAGGAACAGCAGGATGACCAGGTCAAACAAGGTTATTGCCCCCTTAGAGCTTATATTCTAGGTGGGGTGATTGATGATAAACAAGGAAACGATAATTCCAAATTATGGTGAATGCCATGAAGAAAATATAACAAAGAGATGGTGGGATAGGAGGGGGGAGGACTTATTACAGAAGAAGATCCCTCCAGAGAGTCCCACATGGCAAGAAGGAACCAATATGGAATGCCAACCAGAGAAAAGAGCAAGTGTAAATGTCCTGGGGCAGGAAAAAAACTTGGCATTTTCAAGGAATTGAAAGGATGCCAGCAGGGCAGAGCCTAGTGAGTGGAGAAGGGTGGTAGGGGATGAGTCAGGGTATAGTGGGCCTCTACTGCTAGGATGAGGTGTGCTTGCTGAGTTTGATAAAGTGCAGTATTGACAACCTTCAGGGGGAAGCCAAATGAGGGGCCAGTTTATCCTGAAAGGGTAATCAGGGGAGGTTTGACACAGGTGGTGGCATTTGAGTTGGGCCATGATTGTTGGGTCAGGGATCTTTATGAGGAGAGGGGATTCCAGGAAACAGTGAGTAAAGATCAAATTCCAGAGGAAAAGATCATCGGTAGGAGGGACACGGTGGCCATCTGTCTGTCTCTGTACCCGTGTGGCTCAGCATTCCCATTTGCTAACTGGACCTCTGTCCCTCCCTACAGCCTTGGGCCCGAGCACTAGCCTCACTGAGAGAGATCTGAAAGAGGCGAAGGCCCGGAGTCAGCAGATCGCAGCCCAGCTGACCACCCCTCCCAGCTCCAGCTCCCGCGGCGTCCAGCTCTTCAACAGGCGGCGGCAGAGGGTGAACGAGTTCACCTTGGAGAACCACGGCCGGAGGGGACAGAAGCCCAGCCAGGAGTCCCTCCGAGTGCCCCCTGCCAGCCCCACAGGCTATGCCTCAGGGCTCAGCTTGAGTCCCACCTCACTCCCTGAACCAGGCCCTCCGAGGAACGCCGACAGCCAGAGCCCTGACGTAGGGGTCCCTGCTCACAGCATGGAGGGATGCTCGGAGAAGGCCAACTTGCTGCGGCACCTGGAGAAGGTGGCCAGCGAGGAGGAGGAGGTACCCCTGGTGGTTTATTTGAAGGAGAACGCAGCCCTGCTGACGGCCAACGGACTGCACCTGTCCCAGAACCGAGAAGCCCAGCAGAGCCCAGCAAGCCCGCCGACGGCTGAGGTCCACAGCCCGGCTGCAGATGTCAACAAAAACGTTTCCTCACTCAGTGCCACCCTCATCGTGCCAGCCTCTAACAGCACCCACAGCCTGCCGGCCGCAGACAACAACCAGAACCCCCCGGCACCTGTCACCCCACAGAGCCTGCCGCTTTCAAACAGCCAGCAGCCCTCGGAGGCACAGCTCCCTCCCAATGGCACGGTGGCAGATCCCAAACCCGGCACCCTGTGTTCCGGTGGGCAGCCCCCGGAGCCGGCTGCGGAGGTGAGATCCAGCACACTCCTAATTGATAAGGTGTCAGCTCCGCCTACCACCACCAGCACCTTCTCCAAAGAAACGACTCCCCTCTCCAGCTCCGGGACCCCAGCCCCAGATTTCATGTCCAGCTCCCTGCTCATCGATATACAGCCCAGTGCCCCAGTGGTGTCAGCAGAACAAGAGATGTCTGGGTGGGCGGCCACGCCCACGCCCGCCAAGCTATACAGTGAGGTCCACTTCACACTGGCCAAGCCCCCATCAGTGGTCAACAGGACCGCCAGACCCTTTGGGATCCAGGCGCCAGGGAGCACCAGCCAGATGGAGCGGAGCCCCATGGTAGAGAGACGACATCTCGGGGAGAAGGCCCTGGCTCCCCAGCCCTCCAGCATGGCAGACAGGAGCCCTCGGCCACAGAGACACGTGATGTCCCATAGCCCCATGGTGGAAAGGAGGTCTGTGGCACAGCGAAGCCCTGCCTTGGAGAGACGCCCCTTGGGGAACTTCACCCCACCCCCCACCTATGCCGAGACCTTGTCCACGGCCCCCCTGGCTTCCCGGGTTAGGTCTCCCCCGTCCTACTCTGCCCTTTACCCCAGCTCTGACCCCAAGCCTTCTCCTCTGAAGGGCCAGGCAGTTCCTGCCAGCAAGACGGGCATTTTGGAGGAGTCGATGGCCCGCAGGGGCAGCCGGAAATCCATGTTCACCTTCGTGGAGAAGCCCAAGGTGACCCCAAATCCAGACCTGCTGGATCTGGTACAGACGGCCGATGAGAAGCGGAGGCAGAGGGACCAGGGGGAGGCAGGCGTGGAGGACGAGCCCTTCGCGCTGGGGGCCGAGGCCTCCAACTTTCAGCAGGAGTCAGCACCCCGGGACAGGGCCAGCCCTGCGGCGGCCGAGGAGATCCTCCCGGAGTGGGCCTCGTGCCTCAAGTCACCGCGCATCCAGGCCAAGCCCAAGCCCAAGCCCAACCAGAACCTGTCCGAGGCCTCCGGGAAGGGGGCTGAGCTCTACGCCCGCCGCCAGTCCCGGATGGAGAAGTATGTCATCGAGTCCTCGGGCCACACCGAACTGGCCCGCTGCCCTTCGCCCACCATGTCCCTGCCTTCATCCTGGAAATATTCCACCAATGCTCCTGGCGCCTTCCGAGTGGCATCCCGGAGCCCAGCTCGGACCCCGCCCGCCTCCCTCTACCACGGCTACCTGCCTGAGAACGGGGTCCTGCGCCCTGAGCCCACCAAGCAGCCGGCCTACCAGCTGCGGCCCTCGCTCTTCGTCCTCTCGCCCATCAAGGAGCCTGTCAAGCCCTCACCGAGAGCCGCCTCTCCTGCCAAGCCGAGCTCCCTGGACCTGGTGCCCAGCCTCCCCAAGGGGGCCCTCCCGGCATCCCCGGCCCTGCCTCGGCCCTCCCGCTCCTCACCGGGCCTCTACAGCTCCCCCGGCCAGGACGGCCTCCAGCCCACAGCCGTGAGCCCGACCTACAGCAGTGATATCTCCCCCGTGTCGCCCTCCAGGGCATGGTCTCCCCGCGCCAGGCAGGCCCCCAGGCCCTCCTTCTCCACCCGGAATGCTGGGATCGAGGCTCAGGTGTGGAAGCCTTCCTTCTGCTTCAAGTAAAGGACCCCGCAGGGATCCCACTGCCTGGCAGGACCCCCTCTCTGAGGGCTGGATGGACAGCAGATGTGGCTGGAAATGGCACCGAGCTGAGGGTCAGGAGTATGGGGCCTCGGGGCTCAAAGGTTGATGCTGCCACCAGCTAGCTTTGTGACTCTGGCCAAGTCACCTCCGCTCTCTGGGCTGTGGCTGCCGCAAGGGTCATTAGACTCCATGTCTGAGGGATCTGCCGTCCCATACCGGGCCGGGGGGAGGGTCACGAAGCGAGAACTCCCTCAGCAGGCCGAAGTGAGGCTGGGGGGCTTCCTCGGGCCTTTGGGAGCTGTAGGGATGCCAGCGTCTTGCTGGGGAATGGCCTAGAAGGGGACCCCAACATGGGCTTCTGGAACAAAGAGAGCCGGCCAGCGCCTCCGTGTAGCCAGCCAGCCAAGGGTCCGCCTTCTCAGCCGCCCCAGCTCCTGGCATCCTTCCGCCTGTCGCTGGCTTCTTACCTACACTGGTCTGTCTCCTCCACCTCTGCCTTCTGGACACCGTTTCCTCTCCGCTGCTTCAGAGAGCTTCGCCTCGGCCGCCACGTTTTCTCCTCTCGCGGGTTCTTCCGCTGGATGAGGACTCAGCCCGCCACGGCTGTCTGACGCTTTCCTTCCTGCCCCTCTGCTGCCCTGCCTCCTTGTCCTCTCCAAACACCTGGCTCCACTTTGGGGACCAGACCTCGGTCCCGGTTCCACCTGGCTGGCCCTCCATGTGCTGGGGCGTGCGAGGTCCCAGGGAGTCCCCGAGAGGAGGGGGGCCCCGTAGAAGGAGGTGCAGGTGCGGGCGTGCAGTGAGAGAGGCCCCGGCAGTGTATCCATCGGCTAGCTTGGCTTCAGCCTCAGCCGAGATCTGCCCCGGTGAAAGCAGCTCTCTCTGTGCAATGGAGGGCGCCACGGGGAGAGAGGCCGGAGAGGGGGGTCTGGCCCCATCCCAGCCTCCCCTTTGCTGGGTGAGTCTGGCCAAGTCACTTTCCCTTTCTGGGCCTCGGTTTTCTTATCTAAACAGTCAGTGCCCTTCTAGCTGTGACCGTCTGTGAGGATTGAGGGGATAGGGCTGGAGCTTCGGGAGAAAGGCCTTGGAAGTGATAAGACAGTCCCCCGGGGGGGGGGGGAAAGGGGGAGGCAACAGGCTGTTGCCATAGAACCATTGGAGATGAGAGGTCTGTGAGGGCGTCCCGGGGAGGGTGTGGCTGGAACGAGCTGCTGCAGGAGGCCAGGGGCTCAGAAGCCCAGGCTGGGAGGCTGCAGGCCGGGAGGGCCTGGAGACCGTAGACGCATAGGAAGCCAGGGCAGGAGCACAGCAGCTTGGTGGGACAGAGGAGGAGACCTTTAGGTTTGGAGGAAGAGCCTGGGATTTAAGAGATCTGGATTCTAACAGATTAATTCCATGTGTATCCTTGGTTCTCAGTTTCCCCATACAGTGAGGGTGTTGAGTCAGGTGGTGTGAGATCCTCACCACCTCTGACATGTGTGATGTGATGCAGCCCCCAAACCAGGCTTTGGTGGGGGGGGAGTGTGAGAGGATACAGACGCAAGAGGCAGAATTCAGATGGAAGCCTCCCAAGGCTGGGGGCCGAGCACCACCCACTTTCTCTTCCCCAGCCCTATTTCTGGGCTCCCCAGCGGGGCGAGGCATGGTGGAGGCGGTGCCCATTGCTGGGCTGAGCCTGCAGTTTTCGTGAGCTCTGGGCTCGTCTCCATGGGAACGGGGGGTGCCTTCCTAGTGAGTTCATTCTGCCCGGAACTTGGGGGCATGCGTGGGGGAGTCGTAAGTGAGCTCAGCTTCTTCATGCCAGGCCCCTCCCAGGACAGAGTGAGGCCCCTACCCCAGACCTCTGATCCCTTCGACCCCTGAGGGCCAGCAACAGAAGAGCCCACCCTCCATCCTGCAGCTCCTGTGGCCAGGCTGGCCGAACTCGTCCTCCAACTTTGTTTTCTCTCCTGTTCTCAATACACTCAGCCTCAAATCTGTCTTGCTTTTTTCTTTCTTCCTCGCTCCCTGGTTGGTGGTCCAGGCTCTCCCCCCCCTTCCTTGCTGATTCTGGCCTGGGAAGTGGGGGAGGACAACTCCGTTACTGTGTGTGTCCCTGCATGCTGTTTGCGACCTCTGTGCGTCTGGATCTGCCGTGGGTACAGGGATGTGGTGGCCTGGAAGTGAGGGCTGCCCTCGCTCTTCCCTGGGCCAGCACGTAGGAGACCATCCATAATCCTGTATAAATCCTTCTTCTGTTTTCTCCTTCTTCCAGAGTTTGGCCAAAAAGGCTAGAGAGCATGGGGAAAACCCACAGCCCCTTACAGTCCAGGTTTGTTTGAATTCTTTAAAAGTGGAATGTAAATGCCTCTTCAGCCAGAGCATATGCTTTCTGGTTCCCTCAGGCCCCCCTCCCCCTCTCCCTGTTATCTTCATCCGGCAATTTCCCATATTCGTCACCTCCGGGCTCCTGAAAAGAGTTTCTGCCCCTGGTGGAGAGGAACAAACTGCCATCAAGTGTCACAAGTGGGTTGTAGTCCCAGATCTGCACCTGACTCCTTGTGTGACCTTAGACAACCCCTTCTCACCTCTGGGCCTCAGTTTCCCTTCCCTACAAGGGAAGGGTTGCAGAAGGCCATCTGGGAGCTAGCTCCGTTTGGTCTTTGACAGTTCCTGTCTGACTGTTCTGCTCAAGCCTTCACCCCACGCACGTGCCCTGCAATGGGGCTGGTGCTGGGGTAAGTGGGTGCTGCTTTCTGAATTTTCACCCATGTGCATTGCCAGGGAGTTCTGGCTTATATAAGACATTAAGAGCTTTGTCAGAAAGTGAACAGTCCTGATTTCTCACAGCTTTTTTGTACTGTGCACCCCACCTCCCTCACTGCACACAGAGTCAGTACCCAGACATGGCAGTTCCGATGAGGTCACGCTCTGGCCCACCTCCAAATGATGAGGAACTGCTTACCACTGCCTAACATTCCACCCCAGGCTTGGGAACTGGCTGGCCCTAGCCTTCCCCTCGTGGCCACCAAAGGCAGAGATAACCCTTAGAGATTTCAGACAGGTATCATAACGCCTCCTGCCCCAGCCTGCCATTTTCCTGGCTGCAGAACCCGGGTCCTTGTGCGCCCATGCTTGTTGATGGGCTGGGATCATGAACTCTTGCCCCCATTTCCCACAGCTGGGCTGACTGAAAGCTTCCTGGGATGTGTCACAGAGTAGGTGCCAGGGTCTCTGGCTCACATAGACACAGTTCTGATCCTGGAGTGAAAGGGGGTGGATCCTATGCTGAGCTTTAACTTTTCAAATGGATGATTGGGGTCTTGGATGTCCCCAGGAGGCCCCTAGGGGTCCCTCCAGCATTACCATCCCATGAAAAATCTCCTATCCGGACTGCTGTTTAAGGGACCCCATTCTGAGTCAGCTCATCTAGTAGCTAGCTGCCTTGTAGGGAGAAAACATAACGCTTTGCTACTTCCTTTTGATTGGGAGAAATCAGATTCTCATTGGATGAGAGGCAGACTGGCTTGACTGTGGCTGATTACTGATTGGATGAAAGAACGGATCTCATGAATGGTTCTAGATGTTGATTGGGTAGAAGACGCTGAATGGACTGGCTAGTTCTGGACTCTGAGGAATGACTGCTGGTGAATCTGTATTGAATTGAAGGCTGAGTGGACTGGTTTACTGCTGGGATCTGATTGGATGAAGAGTTGGGCGGTTTAGCAGATACAGGCTGGCCATGATTCCCAAGCCCTGCACTTTCAAACCAGTTCTCCACACTGCTTTAGCATGGTGTAGCCCTTGAGCAGGAGGTAGTCACACACACACACACACACACACACACACACACACATCCTGGTGGGGTAGAACACACCAGATAGTTATTTACACCTCTGAACTTCATGTTCATCCTTGTAAAATGGGTGTGATAATGCCAGCTACCTCATCAGTGTGTTGTGAGGATCTAATGAGACATAAAGGATGACACGGAAATTTGTGGACTGGAAAATCCCTAAATAGGTAGGAAACAGGTACAGTAGTATAGAGCAGAGCAGTGCTTTATCACCTCGACGATGTTCACCAACTTGGCTTGACCGAAGCCACACTCCCTACCCCCTGCTGGCAAGAGGTCCAGTCAGGAGAGTGTGCTGCCTAAGGCACAAGGACCCAACTTCCTTCTGTGTGCCCACCTGTCAGTGGGAACTTCCTCTCTGCTCAGGGTATGCAAGGAAAAATTAGGAGGTGACCGTGGCAACATGGCAAGGGGGTTGGGGCTAAGAGGGCCTTTCCCTAAATGCTTAGTAATAATGATCAATATTATCGTTTTACATTTTTATTTATTTATTTTTAAAGATTTTATTTATTGAGAGAGAGAGAGGGAGCACAAGCAGGGGGAGCAGCAGAGGGAGAAAGAGAAGCAGGTTCCCTGCTGAGCAGGGAGCCCCACACTGGGCTGGATCCCAGGACCCCAGGATCATGACCTGAGCCGAAGGCAGACGCCAACCCGACTGAGCCACCCAGGGACCCCTCGTTTAAAATTTTTTAAATAGATAATACGTCCATATCTTTCAAAAACCTAAACTAATATAAAAACTAATACATGAAAGCTTCATTCCCACTCCTGTGGCTGCATACCTTGCCCTGTTGGCCCCATTTCCTAACAGCGACCCACTTTGGCTAGTTTCATGTGTATCCTTCCAGTATTTCTTTATGGTAACTAACATCTACTGAGCACCCACTCTCCTCCAGGGAATCTTTCAATCCACGTAATGTTCTTCTACATGAGTCATCTCATTTAATCCTCACAACAGCCCCCAAAGAGTAGGTGCCGCTATTACACCCCCATTTCACAGAGGAGGAAACTGAAGCCCAGAGGCTTCCGGTTGCTTCCGTTGCTGAAACAACTTGCCCAAGTTCGTTCAGTAAGCAGACGGCTCTCTCCGAAGCGAGCGTTCTTAACAACTAGTCACCTGCCTCCCTGTTAAGCTCAGGAGCAGGCAGCTCGGGCTGATCCGAGGATGGGGGCTGAGAGCTGGGGCACCCTGCGTTTTGCTGCAGGCAATACTTCCCTGAGTCGGGTGGACAAAGCAGACGCAGTCCCTCCCGGAGCCCCGGGCTAGAGGACCCCAGCACTAACGCCTGCCCCGCCCTCTGTGCTCTCTCCCCAGGACCGCCGGGAGAGCCTGCCCACCTCCCCGCCCTGGACGCCGGGCGCCTCCCGGTCCCCCAGCAGCCTGGACGGCTGGGTGAGCCCGGGGCCGTGGGAGCCGGGCCGGGGGAGCAGCATGAGCAGCCCCCCGCCGCTCCCGCCGCCGCCGCCCATGTCTCCCTCGTGGAGCGAGCGCTCCGTATCCCCGCTGCGACCCGAGGCCGAGGCGCGGCCTCCCAGCCGTCAGCTGCAGGCCCTCCTGGCGCGAAACATCATCAACGCCGCCCGGCGCAAGAGCGCCTC